TTTGGTGCCAGCGTCTGAGAGGACGAACGGTTAACTGAAAGTGTCTGGCACCACTTCTTTGCCAACAGCACCAGTGCACAGAAGACCACCCGCCGAACATCCCGATCACCCCGCCCCCCGCAGGCCCCCAACATACAAACAAACTTCAGCGACAAGCCAGGCAGAAACCGACCATCAACAACATCGCTACTAAACCCCTAGAACCCTAAATAAACCCTAAATAAACCCTAAACCCGAAACCCCGTAAACCCTAAACCCTTCCTATACCCTATACTCCAAAACAAAACCCGTTTAAACCTTGAAACCCCTAACGCCTAAATGCTGACCCCTAAACCCTAAATCGGAGGAGCCCTCTCAGCGTCGGCCTGACCCGTCGAGGCACCGCGGTCCCTGCGGCAGAGGGTGGTGGAGACTTCGAGGATCGAGCTCCACCTAAGAGGGGTTATCTTCGGGACTTTGGTTTACGGCTTAGGGTGTTACGGCTAAATAAACATTAAAGTTTAGGCTTTAAGGGTTCGGGTTTAGCGTCAAGGGCTTCGGGTTGAGGGGTTTAAGGTTTAGGGTCGCGGCTTGGGCTTAAGGGTTTTTCAAGGCTTCAGGATTGCAGGGTTTAGAGCTCCGTAATTTTGATTCTCAGAGCGACTCCCCGCCATCAGCCTATGTAGCCTTCAGAATACACTTACAGGCGTCCTCTCGTCATGGCCAGCAGTCCGAGCCGTGACAGCCCGCAAGGGTAAAACACCCCTGGGACTGTACGAACGGCATCTATCAGGTCAGGCGCTGGGATCTTAAGGGATAGCGATCCGGAGATCAGGACCCTAAAACACCGAACCCCTAAACCTCTGAAACCCCCAAACCCACTAATGCCCCAAAATACCGCGGATGGCACCCCTTGAGATATCCCGGTTCCTTGGAGTCTTTGAGCCCTCCATCCCAAGGCTTTCAAAAAACCTCACAGAAGAAGCAGGAAGCATGTAGAGCCATGTGGGGTGTAGGGTTGAGGGGGATGGATCTGTGGGCTTGGGGTTATGGTTCTGAGACCCTGACACACCGTCAACGTGCGACAAGACGCCAAACCTACCGCATACCCGACATAAGCACCCGCCACCCGCAACACCCAGACCCCCTCATCCCCACACCAACTCAATAACCGACTGAAACTTAAAGCCCGGACAGCCTGCATACCTTCTTGAGGTGCTGAAAGATTTTAACACCCGACACTGTCCACCTCGAAGCCCCGGAAACCCGAAACTCCAAACCTGACCCCATCTATCGCCCTCGGTTTAGGGTTTTTTTTGTTTAGGGTTTAGGCCCGACCTTTGACGCTCCTGGGAGGAATAATTACTGGCTCTCTCCAAGACTTGACTTCATGAGCTGTAACGCCTTCAGAGGGTCTTCCGCACATCCGCCTGCTTTCCGGGGCAGGCAAGGGATCTGCAAAGAGTCCGTCGGCCAAAAGTTAAACCAGTGCGCAACGATCCAAGGAGAAATGCCATCATTCATTCGTCTTCCGTGAATCTCTATGGCAACTCAGTGCCATCATTCATCGTTACATGCTGCTGGATGAAACACGGCGACGACACCTTCCTGCAATAAGTCAACGAGTCAACAAGGTATATTGAAAATATGCGTGCATCATTCTGTCATGCAGTGACTTTCCTCCCCGTGAAGTTTTTACAGCACCATGGCAGTTTCGAAACGTGTATGCATGGGCGTTGGCCTGAGATGCGCCGCTCACTGCAGCTCATGGCTCCAAACGTCAAGTGTGAGCCCAGTCTGTGTCGTGGACACAACCTGGTTGGCCCATGCCATCGTCCACGTGACTTTGAACACCAATTTTCGCAGTACGGCCCGCTGTGGAGGATCTAGAGTCCCTATGAGCGGCTCCGAAACTGCGGTGAGCTTGCCTTGACTTGACGGAGAACATTGCAGAGGGAGGGAGACGGAGAAACACGGAGAAGGACAGAGACAGAGACAGAGAGAGAGAGAGAGAGTGAGACACCGAACGAGAGAGTGTGAAAGAAGTCTCTGTCTAAGTGATTCGTTCCAGCTTTGGTTTGGTCGTTTTAGCGCCAGTCCGCTCGCTTCACATGCATGGCTGCATGGCTTTAGCGCAGCTTCCTGCTGTCTCAGACTGAGATCAGGTCGCCCTGGGCCTCGGCAAACCAGCCTGTCAGGGCAAGTCATGCGCCGCTCTCTTCGCCTCGGCTCGCAAAGCCCTGCCGAAAGCGCGCGCAACTGAGCACCCCGCCGCAGGCCCGGTATTAGGCCAGAGCGCTTGTCATGTCTACACTAGGCCCTAGGCAGGCTCCAACTCGAAAACATGGACAAGTTGTATGCATGCTCCTGAACTTGCTGACTTACGCCTCGGCGGTCGGCTGAGAAACGAAGCGCTAGGGTCTGGGCCCACTGATTTACACGAGCATGGAGTCACTAAATGCTGCAGTTCGGGGGTTGACGATACACATGACTGATGCTGCCTACAGCACTCAGCTTCCAAATCTTGATGTCCAAGAGCTCCAAGCTACAAATCCCAGTGTCATGCTGCATCCTGTTTCAGCCGATGCTGAGATAATCTCAAGCTTTACAGCATGCATGGAGTACCTGCGGGCATCCTGCTTGTTGTTCCTCTTTTCCGCAGGTCTTTCACTTGTTGCCATTGTAGGCTGCACCCCGTCGCACTTCTGAGGCCTACTGCCCACTCTGCGACGGGGTGGCGGATGTGTATGGCGACCATGCCCGTGGTGGAGACAGTGACAGGACCTAGCGACACAACGTTGTCGCGGGAAGTGGAGAAACCTGGCTTGTTTCCGGCCCGGCCCATTGAGACGGGGTCATGGCCTGCGTGCTTCGGTGTTGTTGGGTCGGGGTGCGTTTGGTTTGTTGTGGTCCGTTCCGGGTTGCTTCTTCCTGGCTCGGGGGTCGTGGTTGCGCTTCTGCGGGCCTGGCGGAGCGAAAGGAGATAGCCTTCCGGGCTCAGGGCTTTTTTCCCAAAATGGTTTTCCCCAGGATCAATCAGACCCGAAACCCCTAAGCTCCTAAACCCCAAACGGCCCTAAACCCAAAGAGGATCTATCAGAACAGAAAGCTTGTCATGACTTCGGCACTGGACAGGTGCCGAAGCAGTTGTCGCTCTTGCGCCACAGCTGGCCGGGTGCAAGTCCCATGTGCTCTTTGGAAGAGTCTCTCTACGTTTCTTTTATCAACATATCCCAAAATACACTTAAATAAACCCAACATCAAAACCCTAAACCCTGAATCCACAACCCCATAAGCTGCCGAGCTTTGAGGCTAGCTCACGGGACTTCCCCTTGCCGTGCCAGTTGCCCTGAGTCTGATCGGCGATCGACAATCGATCAGAGCACAAGCCGTAACTTAGAGGATCCTGGCAGTGAGTAGGCTTGTCAGTAAAGCAACCATAGTAATAACTGCCTGTAACCTCAAACAATGTGCTTATAGCCTGACTTGTTCTGTTCCATCCTCTAAGTGGTCCGGACAGCTTCGAAGTTACTCGAAAAACAGCCGCGTGCACTTGATGCCCGCACCGGCATGAAACAAATTCCGCGGGAAACTCGCAAAATGCGAAGCTGAGCCTGCTGAGCCCCAAACAGATCAGCAACTGCAGATGAACACAGATTTAGCTGTAGGAATTAGCCGTTCAGAGGCTGGCTGCAGGTTCTGACAAATCTGAAGATCTCTTCGAGACTCGGGCGATTGCCATTGCAGCAGCCGCGGCAGCGACATCCGTTCTGCGAACCGGGAAAAGGCACACCGATGTTTTGACTGTAAGGCTTCAGATTGCAAGGTCAGATCCTGCGACTGTATCTCTAGTCGACATCTCAGCCGCACATCCAATTCACATGCAGAATCAAGCTACAACTGAGTCGAAACTTGAATTGTTCCTTCAGAGGACCGTCTTAGATCTGTGGGCGCTTCTCGCACCGTCTCAGAACGGATGTATCAGGTCTGGCGACTTGGGAATTCTTCAGGATTTTGACTCGCTTTGCCATTGCGGACATGACTCCTCTGTCCACAGGCCTTTGAAGGCATGTCATTCAGAGGTACCTTCTTCGGGGGGCCCCAAGCTTCTACTGCCTTGAGAGCGAAACGGCGCGGCCTTCAACCAGCTCCATGGCCTGGGCTCATGACTTGGGGCGGTTGCTGTAGGGAAATTAAGGGTCTAGGCAGACCCGGAATTTATAGGATTCTACGGCTTTTTTGGGGGAGCGTCTTCTACAATTTTGCCTGGACTGGGTCTTCTGCCTTGCTTTGGGGAAGTAGTCCTCAACTTCGCTTCGATTTCGTCTGCGATTTGCTCCTCGCAGCAGATGCTCGGGGGTGCAAGCTTCTGGGTCGTGTGTCTGACAGACAAGAGCATGCTTTTCGGGGGCGTGTCCTCCGTCTTGTTCCTGCAGTCCAAGAACACCACGGAACTCTTCATGACCATCGACACGATGCCTTTGGCGACTCCGTGCTTATCAAACGGGTGGTCTTCACCCGACGGCGGCTGAGGCGGGTAGATCTCTTCGACCCTCAGAGGCAAAACGTCGATATGGTTATCCATTGCGAAGACCAGCTCAGCGAAGGATGAGTAGGGGCTGGCGGTCTTCTCTGCGTAGTCGGACGTGCAAACTGCGAGCATCACGCCGTTTTCATCTTTCAGTTGCTGCAAATATCTCGCGGTCAACATACCAAAATCGTCTCCTGCCCCTGCGTCCACCATGAGAATCTTGAGGTCACGTTTACGCAGTAGCTTGCACACCGCTCGGAATTTCATTTCGGTGTCCTTGTTCTTCCGGTTAAATCGCGCAGAGAACATTGCAGTCCGAGCCTGCGGCAGAGCAGTTGCTAAGCACATGTCCTGTGAACGTCAACACCAAGACAATTCAACTACCCAACTAAACCCAATGATAGTTTGCTAAGTTTGTCTTCTATTGGGCTCCACAAACATAGGAGTCGATGGAAGTGGCGCATGCCGTGTGTTCCAGCCTCGGCTCCAAGCTCGGGTGGATCAGTGGGATCAGCCTGGCAAATTCGGCCAGACAAGGACACTGCAAGCAGCAGCAACAAACTCCTAGGTCCAGCACGCTATCAAACGAAAGGCTCAGTTAGGACTAGGTGCGCCCGTGAGGAAAAGGTCGAGCTGCCACAAGGAATGCAAGGACTGAATGCAAACCGCACAGCAGGATCAATCTCTGAAGTTCGAAACGTTGGCACTGTGTGGAAACTGCCGGAACACAGCCAGCCTGCCGGGCACTTTGAAGCACTTCCTGGGCTTGAACCTGCAAATTTGTTGCCCGAGCTAGCTGGGTTAGAGCCACAGCCTGATACGCGCCTACACCTCTAAACCTTGAACCCCTCAACCTCAAGGCGTACCCCTAAACCCTTACTCAGCAAGCCTGCTGCTCAAAGCCAGCGGACAGCAGCGAGAGCACTGAAAACTCGCCGACTTCTCCCATGTTCTGCTCTTGAGGTTTGACAAGTTGTTGCCAAGCTTCTCCAGCATGTAGTCTATGCCAACAAGCTCGCCTGCCATGCAGTCGGAGGCTCTTCGGGGGCTCTATCCTGCACGCCCCAGCACGTCTTATGAAGTGAGATCCACGGCTCAAGACACATATTTTCCTCGACCGGAACTCTGGTGAGCAATCCGTTCAGTCCTGGCTTGGCTGCATAGCCTCTGCAAGAACCTGGGCGATTGCTGAAATCTGCAGTGCCTGTTTCCTTGACCCCTCAGCTCACCAAGGGGACCTCATTAACGAACACTTGCAAAATGCAAGACACTCTTGTATACTTGGTACTCCTGATTTTCACTTGGAAGCGAACTTCGAACTTCCTTTGACGACAAACCCACGTCTATCGAAAAAAGCCACAAACTCCTACGAATTTCGGCACTCGAAATTCCCCGCCAGGGCCCGTTGCAGGATAAACACATTGCTTCTAACTTACCGTCCGGGGGGTGTGAGGGTATACAGCAGGGTGATCTCGCTGCACTGGTGTCTTCAACGTCCGGGGTCGGTGCTCTCTTGAAGGAATGCCTCCGATGGTAGATGAAGCAGATGCCCGCTGTTACACAGATGCAGCAACACCTCAGGCAGAACTTCAAGCCAGGACAACAGGCCTTCAGAAGTGCATTCGTGCCCTGCCAAGTCGCAGAACAATCAGAGCCACTGTGACCAAGACCAAGAAGATGACATCTTCAGATGTCACCTGTTCCACAATGGAACCCCGTGGACAGCGAAGAATATGAAGAGGAAAGTCGGAAGCACGTGCCTCCTCGCCGTCAGGACCGAAGCTGCTGGTCGGCTGAGCTGTCGTCTGCACCACATGCAACCAAATTGAAGGCACAAGCTCCCCCAACGATCAGCGCTCGCCAAACCACAGAAGCAACGCCACGCCTGAAGAGTACTTCTGCAAGACAGATCTACAGCGCCCAGGCTTCACATGTTCTCACATTGACATGGCTTCAATAAGCCCGATCGCAAAGGCTTATTGATGATCATTGAGTTCTGGCCAGCACTTCTCGCGGCGAGGGACCCGCATTGCGGTACTTGTAAACAAGGCCCTCCTTTCCCACGGCCTCACCACCATCGATCTGGATGAAGTTGGTGCTGATCTCGATGCTGGCACCGACCTCAGTCCAGGTCGCACGAGCTAGAAGAACAGCCTTGTCTCTCTCAGAACAAATGCGCCGCTTCAAACTATGGCAGCTGTACGGGGGAGCTTGAGAGTGGCACTCGATCTTCCAGCTCACCAATCAGGTCTATGGCTTCTGTCGCATGGGGGTTGCCCTGCTGCACCTTCGAACTCGTCCCAACGTTGCAGGAAGCTCAGCTACTCAGCTATCCTCCCCACTTTCACCTCAGCGCCGCCAGCGCCTGCATTCTGATGAGAACAGCAAACTCCTTTGGGCCACGAGGAATCGAACCTCACAAGGCGAAGGAGGAAGAAGAACCGATAGTTGCACTACTAAGTCGCTGGGTGGCAGAGACCTGAGCCCTCTCCTCGCCTGCGTCCGGCGAGCTTGCTCCTTGAAGACGGCGTCCCTCTTCGCTCTGCCCTGAAACGGCAGGCGCCTACTTACCCGCACCTCGACTAAGCCAGCCCTGACTCTGGCCGGGGGCCTTCACCCACGAGCTGAAACCTGATCGCACAAGTGCTTAGGGTCCGCTCGCAGCTTGAGAAGGATGCGTCTGCGGCAGAGTCACATCAGGACCGATCCTGGCAGGAGGACCAGACTCGTCTCCATCCTTAGTCAGGAGGGCTACGGCAGCGGATCGCAGACCACTTGAACGCGAGTCAGCCTCTCTGAAATTCAGCCAAGGAGTCGTGCTGGGGATGGCAAGGGCAAACTGCAGTCGCACAGCTGCCTGCCCAGGGGGTGGGGCTTCGTGAAGATAGGCTACAACCCACTAGAAGGACTAGAAATGTCCACGACGCGAGCCGGAAGGGACGCTGCTCCAATCCAACTGCGAAGGCTGACGAGGGCTCTTGCGAGTTGAACAGCTTTCGGCTGCCCGACAGCGAATGTGCCATGCCCTCGCGAAAGCTCGGAGGACGAAGAACCGCGGAAACAGTGCGGACCGTCGTCAAGGAGCCCGCCCAATTCGGAGAAAGCCTCGGTCAGACGTCGAGTCGTGGCTCTTTGCACTGTCTGTGCCGAGGTTGACTTGGGCTCAGACGTCTTCAATTGCCAGAACCTGAGCAATGTGGGTCGGGAATCAACAAGCACGAGAACCGATATCGCGTGCTGCAGTCCAAGACACACCTTCGCAACCTCAACTGCGCGGTTTTGCTTCACCGTGCCCTCCGTGACCTCGCCCAGTGGGCACGGCTGCCATACGGGCAGGAAGGCACCGGATGGACCTTGAAGCAAGAGCTTTGGTGAACAGCACTCTTTCTATGTGGAGGTGTTCAGGATCGTCACGTCTGAGGCCGACACAAGCTTTGGTGTTAAGGCCAGGCTTGCAGTCTCCGGGAGTGCGGCAGCCTGCGACAGGAACAACATCTACATCTTCAACGGCCGTGTGCAAAGCCAAGCGGCTGGTTCGTTTGAAGACGGAGGCATCCGAGTCTCCCAAAAAGATCCTGGGTCCCGCGGCGAAGGCTGGCACGAAAGGCTGGCACGAAAGGCGCTCATCGAATCATCGACCCTGAATTTCATCCAGGCGTCTGCGTGCAGGTTTCATTACCGGCTCGTAGCTGCTCAGCAGAGCACCACTGCGGGCATTCATTGGCAACGACTCCTATGCAGTAGGCAGAGCCCGTTACACACCAGCGGACCGCTGACACTCAAATGCCCAACGTGATTCCAAGTCTCCGCTGGCTTTGGGAACGCAGATGGTGCGACTCGAATCCTCGAATGCTCTCTCCGGTACCGGACTTTCATCGCAACAGCTGCCACGAGCACCACTTAAGCCCGTGTCCATGGGATCCGGACAGGACAACCTCAAGAGACATCCCCGTTCCATCATCAAAGTGATGCCTCTGTACTGCATGACTGGACCAAGCTCAAAGTTCAAGCAGGCGGCGCATTTTTACCACAAGGGCATTGCAGCTCGGGATTGATGCAGAGCACCATCGTGCCAGACTCCGGTATGCCTGATCAGAGAGTCGAAGCGATGTGCACCACCCTTTGACACATTGGGACGATCGACAGCAAAAGCAGCACTTCACCAGAGAGTAGCGCTTCCATGCGCATTTTGTGACTGGGCCCCGGAAACCTGCACCCTCGCTGTTTTGTACGAGGCATATCAAAAAGCCCACCTGTGCGGCTGTAATCGGTGATCTCGCAGGCCTTCTGCCTACGCGGAAGCGTCTGTTCGTCTGTTTCACTAGTGCAGCAGTGTTCCACTGCAGATGGGAAGCCAGGAAGCACAAGGGCAGATCGCCATCTGAGACCTGGGCACATCGTTGATATCTCCCGCTCTCATACATACCGCAGCAACGGTAGTTCGCCTTCTACCAATCAGGACAAGCTACGGGAGCAGGCACAAGTCGGACCCCGGACAGCGCCAGGTGTTCAGGCCGCAGGGGCACTGCACGTCTGCGTCAATGCAGATTTCCCGATAGCCTGGGGGGGGGACGCTCAGAAGTTGGAAGGGGGCTCACGGCACGAGAAAGCGATGATCCGGGTCCGGCACTGAGAAAAATTCCTTCGGAAGTGTAGTCCACAAGAGAGCAGAGCTTCTGCTGTTCGGTGCACAGCACTGGACAATCAGCGTCCTGTTACCGGGACTGTGTGCTGCAGCTTCTGCATGTCCAGATTAAAATGCAACTAATGATTTATACATATGGACAAACATATATATATATATACACACTGATATGTATATATATATATATGTATATATATATATATGTACACATGTTCTACCCATTTTCTATGTGTGAATTTAACTATTCATTTCTTAAGCTGTGCGTTTGAAGCCGATCTTCACGAGTACTGGATTGAAGAGGACGTGGCTAAAGCCTTTGCCGAGGGCCTTGTCGTTGTCAAGCCTTGAAGTCGCCAAGGAGAAAAGTGTCTACATTGTCATTCCCAGTGCTTCCATTACGGAAACAAGAGCCCCATAAACAAGCAAGAACGTATCTCATCTGAGGAAACAAGATTTCCAAACACAAATAAAAGCAAAGTCCAAAGATATCCAAAGCCCAGTCTCCGAGCCTTGAAGATGCAGCCGAGGGATTCGCACCACTTGGCTTCACTTCCGCAGGGACATTGCCGGGTGGTGTTGGCACACTCACGGCTCGGAGGCCACTGACCTCCCGGATGCTGGGAAGCTTCCTATGACGGGCCCTCATGGGACGTCACCGGCAACCTGTGCCTCCAGTCTTGCAAAACAAATGGAACGGGATTGTATTGATAGAAGCTAAGCACAGGACTATCACCAAAAAGTCGACATCGCCAAGGCAGACTAAAACATCGACCGAGGAACCGATCTCTGCACCGTCTGGATGAAAGTTGGTGACGAGGGGGCATTGGACGCCGCCAGGACAGTACGCAGGGCAGTGTCCTGCGCCGCATGGGAGCTCGCATGAACATCAACTACTGTGTCTTCTTCTCGTAGGCCTCGGTGTCTGACAGTGTAACTTCCATTCTCTGGAGGCAAGTGTCTCTATTTGCATATCCGCTCTCTTAGATGCGCTCTTTGCGCACCTTGTGGGCAGGACGTGTGGATCGTGCAGGATTTACCATAAAATTATTGAGATTTGAATGCTTACGGCCTGAGTCATGTTGGCTCTCGCTGAGATGCCCGAGTCTCCAACTTTCGCACGTCCGACAACAAACTCAAAGAGGCACAAGAGTAGCTGTGCCTCCAAAAGTTGGGAGACATTCTGAGCTGCCGTCCTCGGCATGTGCAGTCCCTCTATGGTTCTGATAAGAATAAGAAGATATAAGAAGTCTGCAAACTCTGGCCTTGTGCCAAGAAGCTTCGTGAGTGCATTCGAACGCTCCTTGCCCGCAGCCACAGGAGCCGCCCTGCGGCACCTGAGCCGATGTGTCCTCTAAAACTCCTTACAAAGCAGGCGTCAGCATGGAGTCAGGTAAATGCCAAGGCACGCAAACCTGCTCTGTAGCCAAGTGCTCACCTTGGTCGTCGAAGCCTCAGGGGGCGCGCAAATCTGTCTGATGCTCGGACGGACGCACAACTGCTCTTCGCTAGAGCAAGTCGGTGGGCACGGGAAGTTACCTAAGGGCCGCATAAGGACTGCCTGTGACAGCTTCTCTGAAGTCTCGGTTTCACCGTTTGCAAGCGCACCACAACGAACAGAAATTGACGAGAGCTATGAGAGTTTCGGGCACAAAGGGTACCCGAGGTGCCCTAGCTGAGAACGCCCCATATCCCGGTGTCATCGACGCACAACAGGCTACTGTCTTCGCCCTAGCACCAGGGACAAACAGGTTTAGCAAGCGTCTACCCACACGACTCTTTTTAACCATGTGGGGTTCGATCTGCTGCTGTAATGCGATCACACCCTTTTATGACAATCACCGATAGACGCAAGGAATCAGCGAAGACCTAGATCACTCTCGTGATCGAATTAAAATGTTTGTATCGAGGGTTCGTCGACCCTGCGCTCGAGCAAAACCAGATGCCAGAGCAACCCCACAACAAAACAGGCAACAACAGTGTCTGAGGCATTACGGCCCCACCCTTAAGGGGGGGAGGGGTGGGGGGGGGGTCGGAAATAGGTGGCCCACCTATTTCCTTTTTTTTAAGGCTGAGGGGGTCGGACCACCCTCCCCTGAGTTCTTTGTGCTTGCCAATAGCGACAGGATTTCTATATGACGGTTGTAAACTCTGTTAT